CTACTTATATCTTGCTTTAAGTCATTAATAACTTCATTCCTGAACTCATCTATGAGGCTCTGGAGATAGCGCTTTATGTCTATTGGTGCCGTGTCTAATATTGCATGTTTCTCAGGATTGGGGGCTGAGGACCCTTTCTTGTTGCTCCCTCTTCCCATATTTTTTGTTCCTTTTATATAAGCGTATATAGGAGGCCCAGTTTCTTTCTTTGTTGTTTACAGTTTGTTTGAATTGCGCCGGCTAGGTTTTCCCGCCTACTGCAGTGTACTAGGGAGACACAGACCTGGGCAGCCTATGCTTGACCCGCCCCTCCAGGTCAACCTACTGAAGGCTTCACTGCTAGGGTGCACCTCCAGGCGCTGGGACCTGGTTTGGGCTAGCCTACTGGGTATTAGTCAGTGGCAACACCCAAGCCAGGCACTCCCCACCAATCCTGCTTGAGAGGGGAATATGTGGCTGAAGTCACTGCAGTGTCTTGTTCTGGCTAGTCTGCCCAGTCCCAGTATGTCCTTTGCTGAAGCCTCCTACTCTATGGAAGGGTCCCCGATCCGCTCACTCACCGCAGGTCGATGCAGGACTCCCGGCCAGTCCCACTCTCAACTCCATTCACTGCTTCCCACTCTCAGAGCTTTCGCGCCTCTCTTCTTGCCGTGCTGATTGGGACATGGCAGGGGCTGCAGGAAATTCAAATCGCGGCTTCCAGTGGCACGGGGTCCTGCTTCCATGCTGAGACCTTATCTGTTCCTGTTATATCACTGGGATTGCATTTCCAATTGGTTTCTCTTAGTTTAGTCCATTCCTGTGTCGGTAAAGTATATCTCCTGTTACTTAGGACTTCTCGCCCGGCACCATTCCTGGATTTTAAGTGTGGTTTCTCAGAAAGCCTCTGAAGCTGCTGCTATCTATCTGCCATGTTCTCCCAGAAGTCACCTATCAGTTTTTTGTTGAATGTAATTACATTTGTCCATTTAATATGCATATATCCACAAGCAGCTATTTGTAAAAGTTTCCTGCTTTAGCAGTTGTCTTGGTCACTTTTCTCTTTGCTGGGACAAAATACTCCACACACAAAATGAAGCGAAGAAAGGTTTATTTAGCTCACTGTTTGTGGAGGTTTCGGCCCATAATCAGTTGGCTCCAGGGCAGGGTGGCACAGCAGAAGGGCAACACTTGAAGGCAGCAGCCAGGGTAAGCAGCTGTCAGAGAAAAAAGAGGGAGAAAAGCATGCTTTTTTTCCTCCCTTATACTGCATGCAGGTCACCCCTCTGCCCAAGATGTAGTGCTCACAAAATCTCCTTACCCTACTCTTACACAGGACAAGGATATTTGCAAAGTAAGGACCCTGGCTCCCTGCTGAGCCTCTTAGTTAAACTTTTAAACTGCTCAAGTTGACACAATGTGTCAATCATAACAGTAACCTAATGTGCTCAGCCGTTTTAGTCATAGACTCCCATTTGAAAGGTCACTTTTAAGCATAATTAAATTTCATAAACAGTCAGTTTGACAGCTGGAGGCGGCCACCATACAGCTCCTGTCACCTGATATTCCTCTTCGTCCCTTTAGGTCCCTTCTGTCTCTCTGCTCACCCCCTCCCCCATATTTTTCCTTTGCTTTACATCCTTTCTACAGTTCTCAATATACACTATTAGTACTCATCTGAATATCATTAATATTTAGTTTTCTGTCACCCACTATATTATCCTCTCCTTGACTTTCCCTGTATAGCAAAAAACTAGAGATCTTTGTAAACAAGATCTCCATTACCTAGTAATATATGCTTAGGTTTTTAACTTATATTTTATTTTATTTTCTCCTCTCTTTCTGCCCCCACACATAATCATTTTTCTCTCCCTCTCCTTGTTTCCAGGCATAAAAATAATAGCATCGAAATCTATGTTTTTTTGTTTTATGTGTGTGTGCTCTCTCTTGCTTCTCAGCCCCCTCCAACCACTCTTTTTCTTCCCCCTTTCCTAATTCCCTGTCTGTTCTCCACCATTAACATTCTGGGCTGTTGAAAAACTGTTTAAACAACTTTGATATTATGCATTCATACATGATTGGCCCTCCAGATGCTGACACTTCTGGTAACCGTTCTCTCTGGGTGCATGCTAGGGATAGAGCCTGGTATTCTGAAGAAACCGAGTAGGATCATTACCCAAACCATCACAGGGAGAAATCTATGTCCTCAAGTCATCTCTACTGTTGTGACAGAGCTTTCTATATCATCGGATCTCAGCCCTCTACACAAAAACACAGTAATCATGAGATAATGAGGCAATAAGATGCCTCCAAAAATTCATAACTCCCCTAACGTGGATCTCACAGGCACTTAGGTAGATGAATTTCCAGACAAGGTACTCCAAAACAGGTAAAAAATGATTGGAAAGATCAAAGAAGAGATAAGTAGTTGAGTGAAATGACTAGTAAGCTGATGAATGAACTTAAAGATATAAATAAGCAGTGAAATGAAGCATTCACTAAGATTATCAATGAATTTAAAAGAGAAAGAAGATGAGTTAAGGAAGACAGTACAGGTTATGAAAGACCACTGCAGTAGAAAATTAGCAGATATGAAAAAGAATCAAGCAGAAATTATGGAAATGAAAAACTCAATTGAAAGATTTAGCAGTAGGCATGGTCAGCCAGAAGACAGAACACCAGGACTTGAGGACTAAGAAGTCCTAGATGGCGCTAAATGAACAAACCTAAGGATTATTGAAATTAAGGAAGGGTTAGAATTAGCATCTAATGGTATAAAAATGCACTTCCCAAAATAAGTGCAGAAAAATTTCCAAACTGGTCGATGAGTTGGATACCCAGTTAAGTGAGGTATTTAGAACCTCAAATAGACACAACCAGAAAAGTACTTCTCCGTGATACATCATAATCCAGAAATTCAGATCATAAAAGATGGCATCAAAAGCTGTTGGAGAAAAGTGTCAAATAACCTACACAGGCAAACCCATTAAATGTAACGGCAGATTTCTCAACACAGGACTTAAAGTCCAGGAGTGAAGTCTTTCAGCCCTAAAAGAAAATAATTGTCAACTCTGATTACTGTGACCTGCAAAACTGTACTTCAGAATAGATGGAGAAATAAAGATCTTCCATGAAAAAAAAAACTTAAAAAAAAAAAAAAGATTCATGACCTCTAAGCCAACATCGCAGAAAATACACAGAGAATGCTAAACAATGGGACCACCAACACCCAAGGGCCCAGAGGAAAGAATAAATCTCACTGGGAGAATAAATAAAAGAAAAATTAAAAAGAATCAGCATGGGGCAAATATCTAGATAACAGGAATCAGTAAATACTTTTTAATGATCACTCTTGATGTAAACGGTCCTAATTCCCCAATCAAAAGAGACACACGGGCACAGTGGATAAAAAACCCCATGTGTGCACATGCACGAGTGTGTGTGTGTGTAGCACACATTCCTTGTCCACTCTCACCACTCCTCGTCAATATAATACTTGAAATTTTAAGGCAATCAAATAAGAAAGAAAGAAATATGAATAGGAAGGGATGAAGTCAGACTATCTTTATTTGCAGAGGACACAACTCTTTACTTAAAATACCTAAAAAATTCCACTCTTAGAGCTAATAAGCAAATTCAACCTAGAGGAAGGATTCAAAATCAACACATAAAAAGCAACAGCATTCCTGTATACCAGTAGTGAGTCCACCAGGAAAAGAATCAAGAGAACAATCCTATTCACAATAGCATAAAAAAACAAAACAAAAACAAAATACAATTCTCAAATCAGTCTGACCAAGGAGGTGAGAGACCTCTACAGTGGAAATTATAGTGCTCTAAAGAAATCAATTGAAGAAGATGTCAGAAAATGGAAAGACAGGCCAGGTATAGTGGTGCACACCTGTAATTACAGCACTCAGGAGGCTGAGGCAGGAGGATTGCTGTGAATCAAGGCCACCCTGGGCTACAAAGTGAGTTCAAGGCCAGCCTGAACTATATAGTGAAACCCTGTCTCAAAAAGTTAGAAAAAAGAAAGAAAATGGAAAGATATCCCCTGTGTCTAGATAGGTACAATTGATATTAAAATGGCCATATTACCAAAGGATAGATGATAGATACATAGATAGATAGATAATCAATTCCTATTAAAATACCAAGAACAGGCATCTGCCAGCTGCTATTGGGGATGCTAACTCCCCATGGAGAGCCAGCATGGGTGGGGGAAAGCATCCAGACATTCCCCATGTGGCTGTTACCATTGGAGGACTCCCAGTGTAGCTGTAGAGGCAGGGAGAAGAAGCAGCCCCTTCCCTGCATGCCCACAGCCATCAGGGAAGCCACAGTATAGCCACCTGGGTCTAGAGAAGCCTGCCCCACGTCCCACCACCTCCCTAGGAACCTGGGCTTGGAGGAACCCAGGTGCCTGGCCCATTCCCCTACACCATAGACAGGCAGCCAATGCAGGAAGCACGTGGGACCAGCTTGCCCAGAGGAACCCAGGAAAATGTCAAGAAGAAACAGCAAAATGCAGTCTCAGACCTCCAGCCCACATGGAACAAGTCCAGGAGACATAGAAGAAATTGGAAGTGATACACCTGAAATTTCTGAAATGATAGCAACCAAACTCAAGAAACAACTTCATGAGGCTGTAAAAGAAATCAGATCAGAAATAATATCTCAGGTAAAAAGAAGAAATGATAACCCAAATGAAAGAATTGCTGAGCATATCTAAAGAGGACATAGATTTAAAAAAGAAAAGAGTGCAGGGAAATGATGGAAACCTGGAATGAACAATATAGAAAAGGATTAGAATGCATGAAACAGATTCAAAGAGATATCCAAGAAATTGAAAACTGGCAAAACTGAAGATAAACTTTCAGACCTTGAAGACAAGATTGAAGCTAGCAATCACTAAAGGAAAGATCTCTTTAAAATAACAAGGAACCAGGAAATAACACTTCAATGGCTACAAGATGATACAAAGAAAAATAATTTAAGATGGATAGCTGTCAGCAAAAAAGCAGGAGTCAACACAAATGACAGGGAAAAAAACTATTTACAGAAAACTTCCCAAGCATGGGAAAAGGACCTGACATACAGATAAGCGAGGCATGTAGAACTCCATTAACCATACCCAAAATAAATCTACACCTAGACCTCTAATAATCAAGATCCCAGAAATTCAGCACAGGCACAGAATATCAAAAACTGTTAGAGAAAAGAAACAGATCACTTATAAAGGAAAACCCAACTATTGCAGACTTTCCACACAAACTATTAAGTCAAGAAGAGCTTGGAGTGAAGTGTTTCAATTCCTGAAAGAAAACAACTTCCACCCTAGATTGATGTACCCTCAAAATTCATGGAGAAATAAGATACTGCCACGACAAAGAACAATTGAAGGAATTCATGACTACCAAACCATCCCTACCAAGAGTATTAAGGATTTCCTAGAGAGATAAAGATGACCATGGCTCCAGGAGCAGCAGCAGAGGGCGATCACTGAGCAGGGCAGGCCACTGAATGGAGGGGAAATTAGGGAGCCAGTGGCAGGAAAATAGCACAGTAGAGACAAGCCAGTGCAGGCTGGTCGGAACTATTAATGTAGATGATCTCAATTCACCAATAAAAGAAACAAAGGCAGAGTGGACCAAGCAACAAGATCCATCAATATGCAGTGTACAAGAAACATATTTTTTTTTTGTCTTTTTCCTTTTTATCAGTACCGGGGATCAAACTCACAACTGCCTGCTTGCAAGGCAGGCGCTTATGCTGCTGAGCTAAATCCCCACCCCCAAGAAACACATTTAACTTGACAGGAAATTCATGGAGTGAAAGTCAAAGGAGAAAAAATAATGCTCCATGCAACAGGGAACCAGAAAAAAAAAAGCAGGGGTAGCTTTCCCATCAACTATAGAATGAATAAGAAAGATACGGTATTTTTTTAATCACAGATTCATCCTTATGGAAACATAACAGATGCCCACACATGATCATCTTCTACAGGGTAAACCTCAAGCCACTTTTTTTTGGTACCACGGATTGAACTTGCGACTTCACACTTGCCAGGCAGGTGCTTATGCTGCTGAGCTAAATCCCTGGCCCCAGTATGGTATTTTTATACAATGGAAATCAACTATAAAAAAGAATAATCACAAGACTCTTATAGGTAGATGCACTTGAGTCATGTGCATGGGTGAAATGGTTTGGACTTACATGGGTGGACATCATATTGTCTCCCTAGTATAAAAAACTGAAGGAGTTGGTGGGATCTGAAATGTAACTAGACATTGTGAAAATGAAACGGGAAGAAACATCAGAAAAGAGAAGGTGGTGGCTTTGTTAGTTTCCTATTGTCTTGTTTTGAAGTCCTGTATCATTTTCATTGTTTTGTCCAGCTTTATTTTGCTTTGTTTTGTTATTATGTCTGGTTATGTTTTTATTATGTCTGTTTTTATTATGTACTATTTTGAAGATAATATGTATCATGGTAGCCATTGTTGATTTCCTCTTATATTGTTTTGAAGCCCTGTATCATTTTTATTGTTTTGTTTTGATTGTCTTTACTCTGTTTTATTTTGTTTGGTTGTATTCTCTTTAAAATAAAAAGTTAAGAAGTACCAGCAACATTCTTCACAGAACTAGAAAAAAGTCCTAAAGTTTATATGAAATCTGAAGAGACCCAGAATAGCCAAAGCAATCCTGAGCAAAAAGAAAAAAACAAGAATCATCAATCACAACTCCAGATTTCAAGTTATACTACAAGTAATAGTAACAAAGACTCCATGGTGGGCTGGCTTTAGCCCAGCGGTTCCTTCAAGTCTGGCTTCCCAACTGCCTGGGCCAATTAGTCCGGTGGTTCAAGACCCGCGGGCACTCTCCAGTCCTTTTTTAAAAAATTTAAAAAAAAAAGATTCCATGCTGCTGGCATGAGGATACATACATACACCAATGGAATCAGACAGAAGACACAGGAACAACTCCATGCATCTTCGGCCATGTGCTCTCTGACAAAGGGGCCAAAAAACATACACTGGAGAAAAGATAGCCTCTTTAACAGGTGTTGGTAAAACTGGTTATCCACATGCAGAAGAATGAAGCTAGACCCATATTTTTATCCTGCACTAAAGTTGAAAAAAAAATGTGTCAAAGACCTAGATACAAAAACAGAAATGCTAAGCTGTACATAGTGGCACACACTTGTAATCCCAGCACTCAGAAAGCTGAGACAGGAGAATCATGGCAAGTTCAAGACCAGCCTGGGCTACAAAGTGAGCCAAAGGCCGGCCTGAACTGCATAGCGAGACCCTGTCACAAAACGACAAACACAAGAACGAAACAAACAAAAACCCAGAAATGCTGAGACTACTAGAAACAGCTTAGGAGAAACACTTGAATCCATAGCCACAGGCAAGGACTTCCTCAGAACTCCAGGAGCACAAGAAATAGTGCCAAGAATCAACAAATGGGATCTCATCAAATTAAAAAGCTTCTTCAAGGAAACAACCAACAGAGTCAAGAGACAACCTACAGAATGGGAAAAGTATGTTTGTCAGCTGCTCTTCTGATACTATAGAACTCAAAAAAAGTAACCTTCCAAAACCAAATGACCCCGTCAGAAACTGGGTGAATGAAGTGAGTAGACACTTCTCCAAAGAAACACAAATGACCACTAAGTACGTGGAAAAATATTCACTCTCTTCAGCCACTCAGGAAATGCAAGAACTACTCAGAGGTTCCATCTTGCTCCAGCCAGAATGAGGGTATAGGGGGAAAGAACCCTTCTCCCCTGTTGGTGTGAATGTAAGTTAGTACAACTACTATGGAAATCAGTATAGACATTCTTGAAAAAAACCACAGAAATTCCATTTGACCCAGCTGTACTTTAACATATGCATGCCCATGGTTATATAAATGCATTTCCAAGGCCAGCCTGAAGTGTATAGTGCAACCCCGTCTCAAAAAGACAAACAAAAAACAAAGCAAAACAAAAAGCCAGAAACGCTGAAACTGCTAGAAGATTCCATTTACACACAGCAGAATATTATTAGGTCGTGAAGAATGAACTCACTCCAGGTGCTGGAGGTTTAGCTCAGCGGCATAAGCGCCTGCCTTGCAAGCAGGCAGTTGTGAGTTTGATCCCTGGTACCGATAAAAAGGAAAAAGACCAAAAAAAAAAAAAAAAAAGAGAGTGAACTCACTCCATTTACAGGAAAATGAACGGACCTTGAGCCTGTTGTGTTAACTGAAAAAAGTCAGACACAGAAAGTTAAATAGCGCATGTTTCCTTTTAATATGAGAAACCCAAAATATAAGTCAAGAGTAAAAGAAACGTGGTAAGAAATGAAGGCAGATGTTTCAGAGATGGAAAGGAATTAGAGGGAGGAAGAGGGGGAAGCTAGGGGAGAGGGAGGAAGGGGTCAAAAATGATCAAGATGTAATACACATGGCTACCAGTTCCCCAAAACAAATGGAAACTGTGTATCACAGACATCACAGTGAAGTTATTTTAAAAAGAAACTGGGGCGTAGCCCTGACTTTACTTTGAAATCTGGGGTCAGGTGTGACTTCACCTGGGAGGGCAGCAACCCGGTGGAAGGCCAGGGGGTGCCTGATCTGAAAGTCGCAGGTTTGGGGGGCCCGGGGCCTCCTGTACCACACCAGCTGCGTTTCTGCGCACAGGTGACACACAACCGCTCAGCCACGTGAGGGGCAAAAACAGCCCAAGCGGCAGCAGAGCCAGGAGCTGTGCCAGTTCCGTAAGGAAGAGCTTGTTGGCCCGCCAGGAGGGCGCCCTGGGACTCAGGGTCCCTCAGTCAAGGATCGGGACAGGTTCCTGGGTTGGATGAGGCTGGTCTGCTGATCCCAGCACCGCTCCCAACCAGTCTGAGCCAGTCTCAGGACCTGTGTCCTGCCTATGGCTCCACTATCCCAGGCTTGTTTCTCAAAAAGCCATGGATGGGTAAACAATAAAAAACAAACTCCTGGAGATCGGCAGCCCCACCTTACCCTGTACCTGCTTTCCCAGCCATGAGCCGAGGGAGCCCGTGACAGGTACTGGGAGGTCCTTGCTGAAGCAGGGAATGAATGCACGGCTTCACTAGACACAAATTCTAGACCCAAGGGAGTCATTTCCGCACCTCCTGCTGCAGGAGCGGGACAGAGTCCACATTCCCAGCCCAGCCTCAGATGCTCCCGCAGGACATGCTTAGAGACCCCCTGGCTTAGAGGGTGGTTTCCAGGGCCTGCAAGAGGCTTGGTCTGGGGAGATGAGGAGGTGCTCCTCCAGGGAGGGGCTTCCTGGGCGCTGAGCTCAGCAGAGGGCCCCTGAGATGGGACAGGAGATGGTGAGGTCCACGCCTCTCATTTCTTACAAGCCTCCCCAACCTGGCTGCCTCTCCTCTGTCTCTCTTTGCTGCTGTCTTTTCCTCTCTGCTTCTGTCTCCTCTTCCTCTTGCCTTGCCCTGATTAATTCAAATATTTCCCTGATTAATGCTACCATGTCTATACTACAGAGGCCGGAGCTGGGGACAGGACCACCCGGAAAAGAGGCAGAGCTGAGACCTGAATCTGTCTGACCCCAGGCTCTGGGCTTTTCCAATGTGGCTCAGAAGTTTCCCAGCCCTTGAGGGTGCCAGAGGGCTGTGGGATGGAGAGGTGCCCAGGCCAGGCAGCTGCAGCAGTGACATTTTCAGGGGGAAATGGTCCTGTGTGCTTTTTTTTCACTTCCTGAATCTGAACTGGAAAAAAAGCCCTCAGGGCTGCCTCCCACATGGCTCCTGACTCACAGGGACACAAAAGCTCGAGGCGCACCTCAGTCCACACGTGCCCTCCAGGGATGGAAAGTTTCCAGCTAGTCCATGATTAGTAATGAACAATGCAGCACCCTCACGAGGCGAACAGATAGGCAGGTTTTAAAAGCAGAAGCAGACCCCTCCTTGTGCCAGGTACAGGCTGGGTGATAGTGAAGGGTCAGACAGGACCCTAATGAAGGGAACTTGGGGACCACTGGGGAGGGACACAGGG